ACGATGTCCAAAATCAAAACTAGTGTCAGCATATTCAGCATAAATGTCAACAAATAACTCCGCTGAAAAGATTGATTTTGGATATAAAATTGGTGATCGTGTTCTCACAAAATGGGATGGCGATGTGTACTCGGGAATGAATTAATGAGTGAAGAAGCAGCTTATATAAGATGCATGAAAAAGGCACCGAAATGCTGGAAATGGCCCATGCCTCTATGCCTGGCAAGACGTTCTTCAAAAAATAAATCCTCCACAGTTAATTAATAATGGTTGTTACTTTGTGAAAGCAATAAATAATTAGTAACAATAAATTGAAATGTTATAAAAAATTACTGAAAAGTAAATAATAAAGAGACTGTTATATTTGTTAGTATGAGTGCCATTTATGTTCTTTTCTACAGTATTTTTAAGCCAGACATAAATATTCCCCAGATGATTCTAAGCAAAATCAAGAAATACTAGTGTTAACTCTTTGTGATTTTTGTTACAACATTGGTACAATTTGTTATTCATTGTAAGAAATTAAGTTTTGCAATAAAACAGTTTGATTAAGATATTAAGATCATTTTGTTTTTTGAGATCTCTTTAAGTCTATCATCATTATCAGTGATGTACGAGTTAAGGCTGAGCACAATCATCAGCAATCCCATCTGTGTCAAACTTCTTATTGTAACTCTGTCGAAATAAATAAATATATTTTTTATTGAAGTCTGGTTCATTATCTTAATTTACGCGTATTGTTATACTGTAGTTCATTAAGTGTACGGGTGCTGACAGAATAACAGCGTTGTAGATTCTCTGCAACACATGCTGAGTCAGAACCTTTTCATTGTCCTTCTTAAAATATTAATTTTTTATTAGTCTAACTTTTAAATGTTTTGTTACTTTTGGTCAATTAATAAATATTTTATTATTATTATTAAAATTCATTCTCTCTTCCTCGTTTTTTTTAATTATAGATTCAACCCATTTATCCCCCTTTAAACTCAATGCTGGGGACCATTATAATATTTCAGACAATTCGCACATGCACTACCATTTTTAGAGAAAAACACTGTATAATACAAAAAAAAAGACATTAACAAAATAATTTTTCTACTTTTTTGAGAATCAGCCAGCTGCAGCCTTTCTCTCTCTCTCTCTCTCTCTCTCTCTCTCTCTCTCTCTCTCTCTCACACACACACACACACCATAAGTAGCTCCAATGCAAACGAGCGAGACAAAATTCAGGACATTACAAGCTGCATGCAATTCCTCGTTCTTGTTCTTGAGACGCAATAAAAATGAAGTATGGAGTCTAATACCGCCACATAAAAAATATAAATGGAAAAATGTTACCTCGTTTCTCTGTAATGCAATAGCTGCGAATATGTCACCACATCCGGAATTCGTTACGTTGCACTGTGACGCTTCTTGAGGAGGCGTTATAAATCAACGTTTCTTTCTTGATTAAAAGCCAGCACTGTTAGCCAAATTATTGTTACCTTCGCCAAATTTGTAAGATTTGCCGAGTACTTGGTCAATTTGAAGCCGTAGGACCATTTTGAAGGCCGAAGGACTATTTTAACTATATTTAATGGACTGTATTTAATAAATTTATGCAGACTGTATTTAATTATATTTATATTTATTGGCACTACTTGGTCTTATTCGATTAATGATAGTGTTTACACTATCGATACTATCGATAGTCTGGTTAACTATCGATAGCTATCCTTATCGTAATTTTTGTCTATGGTAGATGTCTCCCTTTAGTCTAAGGTCGGGGAAACCACTGTAAATAAATTGTGTGTGAATAAGTATTGTCTGTTCATATTAACTTTACGTGCAAGTGATTGGCAGCAGTGATCCCTCATTCGCCATTTTTCTTTTAGCTTGATCGGTAGCTATCTGTGTTCTTTTGCTTTTTAATAATTTAATCTTAGTTTTAAAAATGCCTAGTGGTAAGCGCTAAAAGGCCACCTATTCTTCAAGTTTACGCATTTCGTGAAAAAGAAAATGCTGAAAACAAGCTGATCGTTCCATTGCAACAACTTCGGGCCTGAATTGCCGACATGACCGGTATTTTTATAGGGTGACCAATTATAAAGATATAGCCTAATATGTATATTTTAGCAAAGTAAGTGACGTTCACCGTCGATGTTCGAAGATAAAATATTCTTATATTATATAAACTATAGTAAAATAAAATTACATATGTATAATGGTTATAGATTGCGATGGCGCATTTTTATTAATAAATAATAATTAAATTTCATGTATAAACTTAAGCATAGGAGGGTCTTATAACTTCCAAAACTTTGCTTTTTGTAAGAGAACATCCTTCAACATTTTTAGTAACGTTACTTTTCGCCAGAGGGATATGCATTTGATGCAGAATTATTAATCATTTAGAATTATCTTAATTATTTTGTATTTTGTGTCATCAATCATTATTTTCTCGATATTAGTTTACAAATTTTAATTAAATAGCTAAAGTTTTATTACCTCAATAATAAGATAATTATTAAAAATAAATCAGTAGAATACACACCGGTTGAAACGGAATGTACGCGTCCTTCAACATGGCGGCTGTCAAAGTTGATTAATTTACACAGAGCACTTTATTATAAACGAGAAATAATTTTGAAATGTGGTGCGTTTTGCTTGTGAATTTTGTGCGTTGTATTTTGTTCCTTTTTGTGGATAATTTTTATTAAACCGGCTCCATCCCCTTATACCGATCCCTCCACATTCACTGACCCCTGGCTTTCATTTTCTGACAATGATTTCTTTATTTTTGTTGGCCCCTTGCATTTTTTTATTCGGACTCTGTACTGTGCATAACATACAGACTGATTTTTTGGAATATGGCGTTTGTTAGAAGATGCTGTGTACCTAACTGCAATGTAAGAAATATCATCTAATTTTAGACATAAGGAAAAAATATGTTTGCACCCTAACCTAACATAATGTTATGCTAATAAAAAAATTGCTCCACCAACATTATTTATCGTATAACTAACCTAAACTTTAACATCCTTACTAATAAAGATTTACACACGACGTATACCAGAGTTATAACGCTAACATCACCCAATAAACGACATTTGACAGTTCAGTTGTATACGTCTGCTTTTACTTCGTAGGGCCATGCTGCAGCTATATTAGTAATTTAGTTGTAGCACGAATGGGTCGGCTCGACCGGGGAAGGACCACGCTCTCACAGAATACCAGCTTAACGCTGCTGTGTTTCGTATGGTGAGTGTAGAGAACCGGAAACCCTTTTTTACTGGAAATAAGGCATTCCATCTTAGTTCTCACGGGTTGGCACCCGATTGCATTGCGGTTGCGTTGTCACGCATCTGCATTTTGTTTTTTAATAGAGGATAGATGTAGATGTATATGGGCCGCAGCAACCACTTACCATCAGGTGTACTGTGTGCTCGTTTGTCACCCTAATCGTATAAACAAAAATATAAAAAAATAAACGAGTGTTTAAATTGTATGGGAAATTACGGAACCGTTATAAAGTTCTCAACCTTTGTTCAAGACGTGTATAACTTCAATTTGACGTATGGTGTTTTTGAAAATAATGGATTGTTTACAATATTTCGATATTTTTGATGAAATCGACAGTGAGAAACCACAATAAAAAAGAAAATTTTACAAAAAACGTTTCGATCCCTTTACTCTACAAGAAAAAGAATTTTGATTGAAATACAGATTCAATAAAATATATATGAGAAAAATAGTTGAGTTAGCTCAGCGTGACATCGAACTACAAGCTAGTGGTGGCGGGCTGTCTCTAGAACTTCAGATTTGTACTGCTCTCAGAACGTAAAAAAAGTCGGAGGCGATAGTGCTCAATATTATATAAATAGAAAGGGGTTTTCATCCTTAAATGTCCAGGTAGATTGTGATGCTCAATTAAAGATAAGAGACATAGTGGCACACTGGAGGGGCAGCACATATGATGCAAGAATATTTAGGGAAAGCCGAATCCGACAACGATTTGAAAATGGGGCATTTCATGCTCGTTTACTAGGAGATTCTGGCTACGGTTTGACAAATTATTTGTTTACACCAGTACAAAATCCCCGTATCGTTAAGGAGGAATCTTATAATAAATCGCATATATTGACAAGAAATACAATTGAAAGGTGTTTCGGAGTTTGGAAACAGAGGCTGGAATGTCTATTACTTGGGTTTAGCATGACACTGGAAATGTAAAATTATACATTGTTGCACTTGCGATATTACACAATATTGCCCTTGAAATTGCTTGAACCAGTCATATCTGAAGATAATGGTGACCAACAAAGGCTAAGGGAAGGTCTTGATAGCCGATCTGGTCAAGAAACAAGGAAATCATTAATTGAAGTACGTGACCCGAAGAGACGTTTACCCGTTCAATGTCACCGGATAGGCACATGTCAACCTCACCTTCTATCATACAGGATTACGGTGAGCTACCTGATATACCTGACAATTTATTAAATACTTCTGTACCGCCATCTATATCTATGTTAATGTCCGATGCCACATCGATTAACTTTCCCAGTGAAGATCTCGAAAACTTGCCACCAAGATCACCAGCTTTGATCGAAACTTCATCAACGGCATCTCTGTCACAAACTAGAGTTGTAAGGCTAGGTGACCAACCATCTGGGGAAGGAGTTTCATCTTCTTGGAGTACACAAGGGACAATGAAAAACAGAATTCACCAGAACTCAGGAATTACTAGTTCCAGCTTCATCTGATCCATTTGAGGCATTCCGATTATTATTAGACGATAATATCCTAGATTTGATAGTGCATGAAACTAATGCTAATGCCATTCGAGTACTGAAGGCCCCTTGTGTCAAACAACACTCACGAATAATATCCTGGAAACGCATAACGCGAACTATTTAACAACATTTCTTGGGTTAGTTCACACAGGTACAATCCGGCTGAACCGACTCAGCGATTACTGGAAAAAACATTGGTTACTAAATATTCGTTGCTCTGCACAATATATGTCACGCAACCGTTTTATGCTAATATTGCGTTGCCTTCATTTTTCATCTGAAGCAAATGAAGAAGACCGACTGGCCAAAATTCGTCCGATAGTAGATCATTTTAACAATCGAATGAATGATATTTATTACCCAGGCAAACAACTTTCTCTTGATGAATCGATGGTGTTACGGCGTGAACATCTCCAGTTTAGGCAATATATTAAAAATAAGTGCCATAAGTATGGAGTAAAGTTATACGTACTTGCAGAACCAGAAGGCACAGTAATCAAATTTCAAATATACGGTGGTGCAGGTGATGATACGTCCGGAATAGGACACACTCAAAAAATAGTTTTAAAGCTACTCGAAGAGAAATTGGATTCAGGACACAGTGTCTATATGGACAATTACTATAACTCCTATGATTTAGCTGTCAAATTATTAAATCGCCAAACTTACTGCACGGGGACTTTAAATAAAAATCGAAAAGGTAATCCAATAGACCTTGCTACCGTCACGTTGCGTAAAGGAGAAAACAAGTCTCTTTTTTTAAATGGTGTACATGTAGGCAAGTGGAAAGATAAGCGATGTGTGCTTTATTTATCGACAGAGCACGACAACGAAATGATGGAAGTCACCAACAAAAGGGGCACTGTTCTTGTAAAACCATCAGCAATTATACATTACAACAGTTTTATGTCTGGTGTTGATTTGCAAGATCAAATGCTTTCGTATTACCCCTGTGAAAGGAAAACCATGCGATGGTATAAAAAGATATTCTTTCACACATTGCAGATGAGTTTGAGTAATGCGTTCCATTTATACGAGTATAATAAATTTAGTACAAATAGCAAACTTAATTTTTATGATTTGCGTTTACATATTTTGGAGAAATTATTACCAAAACCACCACAAATAGCTGAGAAAATGTCAACTAAACATATTTTAACCAAAATTGAAAACGTAAAGGCGCGACAAAAAAAGAGGGTAAGAAGACAAGAACTATCACGGAAGTAGTTAGAAAAGAATGTAAAAGCTGAGTTGGAAAGCCAGGCTTTTGCATAGAATGTTTCTTTGAAGTGCATTTATAATCTCATAATTCTTGTGTTTCAAATGTATTTTTTTTATTTTCAATTAAACTTCTGATGATTACTTAATTTATTTGATTTCTAATATCCTTCTATATCAAAAAAAGAGCCAAAAAGCATAATTAAAGCATCACAAAATGAAAAAAAAAAAGCAATTACACGGCGCCGTGTGTTTGGCTGCCCATAGCTCCGTAGGTCTAGTACACGGCGCCGTGATATTGCTATTTTTTTTAAAAATAAAGGTTATAATTATTATCACAACTTACACATAAAACTTAATTACAAATAATACAAACACTCAAAATGTATGGCCACAGTAGAACATTAATTACCAAAAACTGCACACAGAGATGCATCTCACAACGCAAGTAGCATTGAATGTGTTAAAGAAATTAATTGTCGAATTGCGCGATGAAATAAATTTTAAAGTACAACACTATGGAAAATATTAAAACAACTCGGATATAAATATATAGTGTCAATCCAAACGAAAAATGTTAGTGGAGCAAACAGATATAGCTACCTGGCGATTTATTTACTTGAATTAAATCAAAAAATACAGAGAAAAGGAGCGGACTATTGTCTATTTAGATAAAACATTTATTCATTCCATATATGGGGTGCAAAAGTGTTGGCATTCAGAGTCTGAAGAAGGTGTATTGGTCAGAGATTCTAGTACGGGTAGGCGACGGTTAATTGCACACGCTGGACCTACAGACGGCTTCATTAATAATGCGTTACTGCTATTCAAGTCTCAAACAAAATCATCCGACTACTATGACAACATCAATAGCGATAACTTTATAAAGTCTCTGGAAAAACAAGTTTTATCAAACCTGCCACCTAATTGTATGATTGTGATGGACAATACACCATATTATACTGCACAAACAAATAAAAGCCCTAATATGGTGCCTCAAACAGATATGGTATTGGTAAAGTGGCTTCAAAACAAGGGGTTGCTGTTTTCACAAAATTTGATGAAAAATATTTTATACCTATGAATTGATAAAAAAACCAGAGCTTATATAGAAAGCTGACGAATTAATAAATCACATGGTCATAATGTTTTGCGACTGACCCTTATCGTGCGAATTTAAAATACGGAGTGTAATGAAGAGGCGGTCATCAGATAAAAATGGAGAGATCATCAAGTGGAAACACTTATAAAAGAAGCGTCTGGCTCAATAAGCAATGAGCTTTGGAAAAAAGAGTGCTAACATGTTAGAAAAATTGAAGATAAGGACATCAGGCTTCACTCGTTCACTGTTTCTAAAATTCAGTTCACTATGGAGTTAGAGTCAAATAATTCTTTAGCTTTTCTAGATGTGTTAGTAATTCGGAATTCTGATAACACCTTGAGCCACACTGTGTATAGAAAAAAGACCCATACAGATAGATATTTAAAGGGTGATTCTCACCACCATCCTTCACAGTTAGCTACCGTGGGTAAATCTTTGTTTCAGAGAGCACGAGGGATCTGTGACAGTAAACACCTGGCCGCCGAGCTCCAACACGTCAAGCAAGTTTTTCACGACAATAAGCTTCGGGTCCCGCGCCTACGTCACAGTGAATGAGTGAAGCCGGCCACAGTCAAGCGAGTGCCTGCTGTACTGCCATATTATGTCAGAGGTGTCACTGACAAGATTGGCTACATCTTGAAGCGTGCTTCCATTAAAACATACTTCAAGCCGCCGAAGAAGATTAGTCAGTTTTTACCATCAGTCAAGTGTAATATTCCTCTGCAAGATGCAGGAGTGTACAAGCTTGATTGTGAATGTGGTCTCTCTTATATAGGACAAACTAAAAGATCCATAAAAACCCGCGTTAAAGAACACATAGCTGATGTGAAGATTCGACGTTCCGGGAAGTCTGCAGTCTGTGAACACGTACAGGATCGCCCCCGTCACTACATTAGATTTGATAGACCACAAATCCTCGCTAAAGAACACCGATTCTTCCCCAGGATGATTCGCGAGGCTATTGAAATTAAAACATCCTAATTTCAATAGAGAAGATGGCTGGGAGCTACCATCTGCTTGGGATCCCATAATTAATAAAATTAAATCCCAACCCAAGCATACAACTGCAAGACTTCATGATACTGTAAGTTCGTACTGCGTAGATCGGAACAAAAATTAATAATTTTTAATCTGAAGGTAGCGGTGGTTAACTATGACATTATGACGTCATACACCTCAGTCCCCCCCCCCCCCGTGACCATGGGTGCTGAAAAGTGCCCGAAACGTCGGGAATATATAATAAGTTAATATACGCGATAAAATCCGTAGGTAAAGGTATTGTATTTATAATTTATAAAATTCTTTTTTCCAATGTAACGATTCTTATTTATATAATGTTAGTTTTTTATTACAGAATCAAACAGTATAATATCGCTAATTTTGAAGATGACTATAACATCACACATAGTGAAGAGTCATCGAGTAACGAATCTGATGAGGATTAATTGTTTTTTTTAATATTTATCATTAAACTAGCTGTTCTCCGCGACTTCGCCCGCGTGTAATTTAGGGTTATAATTATGTTGCGCGGAACCCTAATTCTTTTCCTAAAATAAAAGTAGCCTAAGTAGTATAACATCAGCTATCTGCCAGTGAAAGTCCCGTCGAAATCGGTCCAGCCGTTTCGGAGATTAGCCGGAACAAACAGACAGACCGACAGACAGACAAAAATTTTAAAAATTGTGTTTTTGTTAAAAGTACCGTATATACTTTCATATGCATTTAGTAAAATGTTGGTATTTTGACATTACAAACAGACACTTCAATTTTATTTATTTGTATAGATTATTTATAAGTTTAATTTTTTTCATGCACTGTTACATTGAATTATTATTAAAGTTCTGATAATACACTCAAAATACAAGCTTTTTATAACATTAATTTAATACAAATGACATACAGTAGAGAGCACATATTAAAGGACTAAATTTTTTGTTTTTGTTGGTTAACTAAAATAATGACATTTTTTTTGTAGGTCACTATTATATTTAGATTAAGATTTAAGTAAACAATCATTAATTTTTCGTGGCATACGGTTATTAATCAAAAAAAGATTAACATAATCTTGACAACTTTCGAGTGTAGGTCTCAAAAAAATTACCAACAAATTTGTATGCCGATGCATTTTTTATAAAAAATATATATTTTGCAAGCCCCAAAACAAAAATCTATTAATAAATTTTTTCAAGTCACCATTCTGACATGTTAGAGCTGGGGGTCACTCGGAAGGTGCCATTCACTTTGTATGCCACAAGTTTTTCTCAGTTTTCCATCGTATTTTCTCGAAGTATTGATTTTTAGAAACTGTTATTATTTAATTTGGGACACTCATCAAATCGACGTGTTTCGCTCCCTACCGCGCTTTTTCCTCTCACTATCAGAATTTTGTCCAATGATAAAAATTGAGTGTCTCGTCAAAACGAAGCTGTGTAAAAACTTTCAGCCTGTTATTAATCACTGAAATCCCTGTGTGTGAAAAAATGTGGGACCGTGGACTATACGCAATGTAAATTACGACTGGCTCGTGAGATGATTTCACACTATTCAAGAAAAATCTCAGCAAGTGTTTTCAAGAGCAAGAAAGGCTTCAAACTTCGTCGTACCTAATGAGGTGGAGGCGGATTGGATCGGACACAGAGTGTACATACATATTTGGGCAAAGGGAATTAATTTCTCACAGGAAAAAAGGGCCCCCCTCACTTAAAATATATTTTTTTGAAATCAGTGGTATCACTATACCCTAAATTCACCTTCAATGTTGTATTTACTTTCACACAGGCTTGCGCCTTATTATCGGTTAAAGCTCGCAGAATTAATATCAAAATTAAAAAGATTAGAAAGTCACTTAGGTGCTCTAAGAGTGTTGTGTTGACTTTTGCTGGACACTTCCAAAATAAATTTACTGTTACAACACAGTGTTATCTCACAGTTTACCAGCTACCTACAATTTAATGCCGTAACTACTATCGCTTTTTGTCATGTTCATGCCCAATGTCGTTCAAATCCCCGCTGCTATCGCTGTGCTCAGCACCTAGCGATTTTTATTTATTTCCAAAAATAAAAGGGAAACTTCGAGGAAAACGTTTTAGGGACGCTAAGGTAGCAGTGGCTGCGTTACAAAGTGCCGTCGAAGAGACCGCTAAGGACGAGTGGGCAAAGTGATTTTCGCAGTGGTTCCTTCGGATGCAGCAATGTATTGATGTAAATGAACACTATTTTGAAAAGATATAATACAACTAATAACTTTCTGTTCAGTTTGTAATTTTCTAAGAACTTTCAGTGTCACCCTCGTACGTACGAATTTAAATATTTTTATTGGTTCATATGAAACATAACATAAAAAATAAAATAAGTATTGTTTTTCTCAAAAAAAAATACTTTCTGAAAGGTAAGGTTAATTTTGTTATGATGTGTTTATTTTACAAAAATATTTGTGGCTTAGTACTAACTTTGCTTTGAAATGTTGTTATCAAAAATGATAATCTATGCATTACCGGTATAACTTGTTTTTATGAATATTTTTTCAATGCTATGTTTTCGAAGCAATTTATATAGGTTTTGGTGTTGGGTTGTTTGGTATTATAATGGTTTAAGATCGCTATTGATACGACACAAAACATGGATAACAGAAATATTGAAACACTGTTATGGCAACTTGAAAATGGCGACATCTCTGAGGGTGAAACAGACATCGATGAAGATGTTATTGATGTGTATGTGATGTGTACGGTGTGAATGAGTTGATCGAAGGCCATGAAGAAGAACAAACGGACTCAAATGGTAATCTAGACTGTGATCCCCCATTGATTTCTGGCGATTTGCCTGAAAATGAATCAAGGTCTACTAATTATACTCAAGTAAGATATTTAGTTTGGAAAAGAAAAAATTGCCTTTGGTTGATCAAGCTTTTAACTTTCTTGGCGTCACAGACTACCCTCAATATATTTTAGATTTATAGGTCCTTACCAATTTTTCACTTATTATTTTGATCAAAACCTACAGGAAGTAATCTTTGCTGAGACGAATAAATATGATGAGTAAATGAATCCGAATTTTTCCGACTCTATCAATTCATTGGACATTCGAAAATACCTTGGAGTCTTGATATATTCAGTATACCATTACCCAGCATCAGATCTTATTGGGCAAGAGCTATACAATTCCATCCAATTTCAGACACAATGACAGTAAACAGATTCGAAAAGATTCGTTTAGTAATACACTTCAACGACAATAGCAACCACCTACCTCCTGACCATCCCAAGCACGATCGATTTCATAAAATACGTACAGTAGTAGAACGTTTCAATGACCAATTCATGCAGTTCCGTTCGACCATCGCCCATCACTAGATGAACAGATGTGCTTGACAAAGTTTGGTCATTTTATGAATCAATATTTGCCGAAAAAGCCACACAAATGGGGATTCAAATTATACGTGCTTTGTTGTCCCATGGGCTACGATTATACTTTTGAAATTTATTCAGGGACTCATTATATCAAAAGGCTGCCAAATGAACTCGGCTTAGGAATAGTTTCAAACACAGTCATACGTTTGCTTCGACCAGTAACCGCGGAATGTAAATCATATAATATTTTTCATTAACTTCTATTCGAATTTGTCACTATTCTATTACTTATTCAAAGAAGGAATTTACTGCTCGAGGGCAGTACAGAAAACGACTGGGGAAAACATGCAAACTATCTGAGAATAAAGACATTCTTAAACCATCGCTGTCGAGAGGATTCTATGATGAAAATGTTACTACATATGATGGGGTTGAATTTTCTGCCGCTAGCTGGGAAGACAATAAACAGGTGTTATTGCTCTTCACGTATGTGGGCTCAGAACCTGTAGACAATAAAAATATACGATAAAATGCTAAAGAAAAGCGTTGCCATATCCTGCCCAAAAACTCTACGTGAATATAACGCGAATATGGGCGGTGTTGACACAATGGACAGTTATTTGGGTAGATAGAGAATTAGAAATAAATCCAAAAAAAGGACAAATAGACTCTTTTATCACATATCGGATATGGAAGTAATCAATAGTTGGACTTTCTACAAAAAAGTTTTGCTGAAGAAGAACACTAATTTTAAAAATATTTTGAAACTGGCTGATTACAGAACTGAACTTGGAACTTCTAAACTTTATGTAAATAAAAAAATGTTTATGTAGGCAGCACCACACCAGAAAATAAAAGAGGCCGCCCAAGTTTAAATAAAACTGAAGTCCCTGTTTATGTGCAGTTTATGTGCTTACTGCATAATTTATCAAAAATGATAACCCTTTTTTTCCATAAAACAAATATTTTAAATATTTCAACTATTTTTTACTATTTTCCCCGTATTTTAGAGACCTTATTTTACATAATATATTTTTTTACGAAAATATAAAAAATCATGCATCAGAAATAAGAAATCTGACTTTATATATTTATTAAATCATCACAAACCCATAGTTTCTGCTGTCTTGGTAACCTAGTTAAAACCTGCTTCATATTTTAGAGTCCCGGGGTATACCCGTCTTCGAGACGACAGGCAAGATGGGCGTGCTTGTTGTGCTCTTTTTATTAGGAGCCCTATCATATTTAAGCAAATACAAGTTCCTCCTCACAGTGCAGGCCTGCATATAGTGGCTGCAAGAGCTTATAATATTTATTTTATTTCTACCTATATCCTTACATAATTTTAAGTGATTACATTTGCAACGACACATTATGGGGTTGTCGTGTTTCTGACCCTATCTCCTTTATTTTCTTTTTAGAATAGAATAGAATAATTTTTTATTCAATATAAAAGTCTCTGTCCTGGGAAGAACCAGCAAGAAACCCAGCGGGACTTTTTTTTAAAAAGCATATTTTACATTAATGATTGGTGTTCAATACATGAACATAAAAAATTTAATTCTAAATTTGTGGTAAACCTGTACCTTTAAAAGGCAATGTGATTTATAAGATATAATTTAAGTTGTTACTGGCAACATTATGTACCTAAAAAGGAAGTAGAAAAATTGCATTCGTTGGCTAGTAGTGTCACAGTGTGCGCTAACGTTTTTATCTTTATTAAAGATTTTATTTTATTTTGTCTAGCTTTTCATTTTGAACAAGCTAAGTGGTCCTTCGAAAAGTAAAGTGAGATACAGTGTATTATTGAAGGGTGTAGTGCGTTCTACTTCGGACAGTGTCCTGGCTATGAAGCGGCGGAACCTCACCCGGCTTATAGTTTGGGTGTTTTGTTGGTTTGCTTTGCTATTGCACCTTCATATTCATCCATTTTCGTCAAAATATTGACGAGGCATTGCAGAGCCTGCAGTATCTCAATTTTTTTTACACAAATTGTGTAACTGACGGTGAACCGAGAAAGAAGCTTCTATCTGTGATTTTTACCTACCTTCATTGAAAAATAAATTTATTTCCGTCCGCCATATTTGTCTATGGTGAGCAACTCAACAAGGCATTCATCTGGAAGTGTCAGTGTCACTGTCAATTGAATTTGACTTTGACAGTTCGACTTCTAGTAAACAACGGCTCGACTTCATTTGAAGAATAAAATAGTGTCTGTGATTGTGAATTGTAAGTTCAAATAGAAACGTAAAGAAATAAGGCCAATAATAAGTTTAGTGCATTTTGGTGTTGGTGTTGCGCAATCATGTCGGAGCTGAAAAGGTTAAAAATTGCGCGGGCGCATTGCAAAGGAGCGTTGACGCGAATTGAAAGTTTTGTTCGCGAACCAGCTAATATTGCTTCAGCAACAATAGACGTTTTAGAAGCTCGTAAAGATAAATTAATTTCAGTTTTAAAACAATATGAAAGTATTCAGTTGGATATTTTAGGCCTAGATGAAGAGGACTCTGAGGATATTGGTGAGATGGAAGATAAGTATTATATGACTCTTGGTAAAATAAATGAAGCAATTAAAATTCTTAATAAATCAGAGCCCTCTCAATCTAATTGCATGTCTTCGTCTAAATTACCTAATGTGGAAGTTCCCACATTTGATGGTAAAGATTGTACAAAATTTAAACCATTTTATGAATTGTTTATTGCTGTCATTGATAATAATAGGACTTTATCGGATGTCCAAAAGTTGTTTTATCTACGCAAATATTTATTAGATGAAGCCTTATCAGTAATTGTTAACTTGCCCTTAGTAAATAAATCATATCAGGAAGCACTAACTTTGCTTAAAAAACGGTTTGATAATAAGGCACGTTCTATATGTAACCATATAAATATACTTTTGGATATTCCACCTATGCTCAAAGGGACAGCAGCCTCAATACGGACCTTTATTTCTCAAGTACAGCAGCAATTACACGCTTTAAAAAACTTAGATGAACCAATTGATAGTTGGGATCGGGTTTTAATTTGTATCCTCAATAGGAAACTGGATTCATACACAATCCGTGCTTTTCAGTTAGAGCGTCCACAATCCACAAATATTACCAACAATGGTGGAATTTATAGCATTTTTGGAAAAACGTGCTATGGCACTATAGTCGTATTTTTAATTAGACGAAGCCAACTGACAGTAGCTAATGTCACTTTGTAAAATAATGTTGCCATATTTAAAGTAATAGTGATGCGTTCAGTTCTCGTTCAATCAGATGAATGAACAATGAGTGTGTATAGTTAATCATTTCAAACTATAAAAGAATATTATTTCTATTTTACAATAAAATTGTATAAAAGTGCTCTGATATAAGTTACTAGTAGTATGTAACTACAATCAGTTTTTTGAGGTTTTATTACAAAGCGCGGCGCGGCGACTACTGCCAACACCGATCAACGCCGCGCGCGTCGGTCGCCATTTTGTTTGTTATTCGGCTTCTAACCTCTGGTCTGATAGCACGAATGTTTTTTCTGCGCTCACGCTGTTTAGTTATTGTTTTTGTTAAGTTTTTCGTTACGTTGTGTTTGTGGTAATTGTTGTGTTTATTTGTTGCTATATTGTTTCGTACAAATGATATGGATCCTCAACCAAGCACGTCAAGCCAAAGCTTGTCTCCAAGAAAGAAGAGACCACGGATTGCTTTAAGCGTTACCGAAAAACTTATGATACAAAACGTCTACAAACACGTATTTGAGGAAAAAGCTGCTTCACTATTACCTATTGAGGCCCCCGAAAAAAAAGAATGTGTTTCGAAAACAGCTGACATTTTGGGAATTGGTGTGACCTCAGTTTACAGTGTGTTAAAAGAATGCAAAGAAAATGAACAATTTAAGTCTCCCGAGAAACGTGGACCGAAACACAGTTTCAAAGATAAATTAGACGATTTTACTTTTGCCGCTATAAGGCGAAAAGTACATAATTTTTTTTATGCAAATGAGTCACCCACCATTATAAAGGTAACTTAAACTTTATTCCTTCTACTGCATTATATTCTGTGTCCACCATAATGTTCTTTGTAAAACCAAAGTATTAGATTGCGTAGACTTCCTTACTCAAAACATATTTTTATTACTTTACAGATTCTTAAGGTTGTCAATGAAGACCCAGACTTACCCAATTTTTCTTGGAGTACATTAAGAAATGTTATGAAACATTTAAATTTCAAATATGTCACAAAATCAAGACACAGCATTTTAATTGACAGACAGGACATTATTCTATGGCGCCAGCGATACCTTCGAAAAATTAAAGAGTATCGAAGGGAAGGAAGGTATATTTATTACCAAGATGAAACCTGGATCAACGAAGGTAATTACAATTTTCTGTTTTCTTTACATTAAATTGTACTTTCAATAATTAATTGATATTTTTCACTATCTTGAAGGTCATGCACCGAAGAAGGCATGGATTGACCAGACAGTGTTATCGTCCCGCCAGGCCTTCCTAGATGGCTTGACCACTGGCTTAAAACAGCCTTCAGGAAAGGGCAAACGATTAATTATCGGCCATATAGGCGGGGAAGAAGGATTCGTAGAAGACAGCTTATTAATATTTGAAGCCAAAAAAAATAAAGAAGATTATCATCAAGAGATGAATGCCGATTCCTTTGAGAAGTGGTTTAGGGGGGTCTTGCCAAAACTAAAACCAAATTCCGTAGTAGTGATGGATAATGCCCCCTACCACTCCAGGAAACTAGAATCGCTGCCTAAAATGTCTTGGACTAAACCTAGAATACTAGAGTGGCTAACGAGCAAAAATATTTCATTCGAAGCAACAATGGTTAAAGCTACTCTTATAGACATTGTACGGCAGCACAAGCAAGAACATTGCGATAAGTATGTTGTGGACGAGATGGCAGCGCAGCATGGGATAATTGTTTTACGTCTGCCCCCATACCACTGTGAGCTCAATCCCATTGAGTTGGTATGGGCGCAGGCTAAAGGATATGTTGCAAGAAATAACAAAACCTTCAAAATGACAGAAGTAAAAAAACTTTTTGAAGAAGGACTTCAACATATCACACCTGAAAAATGGAATAGCTGCGTGTCTCATATAATTAAAAAAGAAGACAAAATGTATGGTCTCGACCACATGATTGACAATGTTACTGACAGATTTTTAATTAATGTCACCGAAAGCGATAGTGATGATTTTTTATCTGATAATGAATAAAAACAAATTATGTAATAAGCGATTTTTTTTATTCTCATTACCTACCTATAATTGTTATATTTTATACATCTATAGTTTCAACTACATGATGTATTGAAAATAGGACAGTCTTACAAGTTTCCTCGCAATATTTTCCTTAATGTTTAAAACACTCGGTATTCAGTATAGGTAGATATTATAGGAACATAGTCGTCGAAAACTCGTTGGTATGTACAAAGCACGACTAAAATTCGAACCCCGTACCCGATATCGGCAGTTCAGCACACTAACTATTCACTAGACAATCGAGGCAATTTCATTAATTCAGGAGTTTTTCAATCATTCACTTTGTCACAACACTATTTTTATTTCATCAAAAACTGACAACACAGTAAACGTCAGTTGACTTCGTCTAATTAAAAATACGACTTTAGAAGATAGTGCCCCACATAAGAGTAATTGCTTTGATAATAAATTAAGGTCAGTAGTAAGAGCTGCAAATGTTTCCACACAATCCATTGTATTGTGTGAATTTTGTAAAATGAAAGATCATGCAATTTTTAATTGCCCAAAATTTAAGATGGTCACTATTGAGACTCGTTTATCTTTTGTCAAAGATCACAAATTGTGTTCTATTTGCTTAAGGGATCATTCAGACCATGTCTGTAAATATAAATTTAAATGTAGAATTTGTAAAAAGCCTCATAATACTCTCCTCCATGTGGAGGAGGAGGCTAAGGTTTCACTGGTTTCAAATAGCAATGCTTGTAATGCAGTTACATTGCTGCCTACTGTTAAGGTAAAGGTTATTGACAAATATGGTCGAGACATTTATGTTCGAGCTCTGCTTGATAATGGTAGCCAAGCCTCATTTGTGACAAACACTCTTGTTAAAGAATTAAATTTGAAACCTTTTTCAAATTCATCTAGTAATATCAATAAAATCACAGTAATAAATCGAACTATTAATTTATCTCTAAGGTCTTGTGTGTATAAAGATATAACATTTAATGTAAACTGTTTAATAGTTGACTCAATTACGACACCCTTACCTCAAAATTTTGTTCATATTTCGCAATCAAACATTCCAGAGCATATATTGTTATCAGATGATCAGTTTAACATTCCTTCAGAAATTTCAATATTGTTAGGAGTTGATGTTTATTTCAACTCATTGTTAAATGGATGTATAAAGATTTCAGATGGTCCTGTGTTACAAAACACAGTTTTTGGATATGTTGTAGCTGGTAAGATTGAGACTAAAAATAAAAACTCACATTTAGTGTCTAATTTTGTTATATGTGATGAAAGAAAGCTAGAAAATGTGATGGAAAATTTTTGGATAACTGAAGCATTACCTCAACCTATAACAGGCGTTACAAGTGAGTTGCACAAATCAGAAATTATTTTTCAAGAGTCTGTCACTTTTGAGCATAACAGATTTTCAGTTGACTTGCCCCTCATCTGTTCAAAAGATGAGTTGCTACTTGGGGACTCCTTTTCAATTGCTTGGCAAAGGTTTTTATCTCTAGAAAAAAGGCTCAAACAAAGTCCTATGCTCTCTATTATGTATAAAGATTTTATACAGCAATATGTGGCGATGGGACATGCCAAGGAGGTCGATATAAGTACATATGATATTAATAGTGGCTCTGTTTATTTTTTATCACACCACCCTGTCTTCAATGAAGATAGTAAGACGACTAAATTACGAGTGATTTTTGATGGAAGCATGAAAACAAAAAATAAAATTTCTTTATATGATGTTATGCTGAATGGGCCTGTAGTGCAGAGTGAGCTTTTCGATATCCTTGTTTTATTTCGTAGTTATTTGTTTACATTACTATGCGACATAGAAAAGATGTTTCGATGTGTTCTGATTAATGATCACCACACTAGTCTTCAAAACATTCTTTGGAGAAAAAACCCTGACATGCCCATAATTTGCTTGCAGTTGCAGACGGTCACTTATGGACTGAAGTCATCTACATTTTTGGCAACCCGTTGCCTCTTAGAGTTAGCGAACAGATATAAAAATTGTTATCCTTTGGCTGCAAAAGCGATAATATTGAACACTTATGTGGATGATATTCTCGCTGGAAGTGATAATATTGATGAGCTTCACTTGTTAAAATATGAATTAATAGAGCTATTAAAATTAGGTAATTTTAATTTACACAAGTGGTGCTCTAACCACCATCCTGTCCTTGAGGACATTCCAAATGAATGTAGATATTTTGAGGATTTAAATATTAATAGAGATTATGTTATTAAGGCATTGGGCTTAAAATACAATATAGTGTTAGTCCATTTTTATTTTGAAACCCCTTGTTGTGATGGGGAAGTACTAAATACCAAACGGAGCATATTAGGTTTAATTGGAAAAATCTTCGACCCCTTGGGGTTGATAGGCCCGATCATAGTTTCAGCAAAATTAATAATGCAAGAATTGTGGTCCATATGCATTGAGTGGGACACAATGTTGCCTCCTATGCACTTACTACGATGGGAAATTTTTTACAGCAAATTAAAGTCAATGAATAAAATTATAGTACCCAGATATTTCAATAGTCATGATGGTGCATCTGTTCAGTTAGTGGGTTATGCCGATGCATCATCAAAAGCATATGGGTGCTGCCTGTATTTGCGAGTTTTAAAAACTAATGGGAATATTGAAGTTAACTTGGTGTGTTCTAAATCACGGGTTGCACCTTTGGCAAAAATACTTACCATACCTCAGCTAGAGCTAAATAGTGCATTGTTGCTAGCACAGCTAGCAAATAGGGTTAGTAAAATAATTACATCCCGTTTAGCACATTCACTTCACTTATACAGTGACTCCCAGATAGTATTAGCCTGGATACAGTCTGGAAAAATAGAGGCTAATACCTTTGTTAATAATAGAATTAAGCAAATTGTTGAACTTACTGACAGGTCATCATGGTCCTATGTAAAATCATTGAATAATCCTGCTGACCTAATTTCGAGGGGCATAGACCCACAAAATTTACAAGGAAAAACTCTATGGTGGCATGGGCCTGAGTATTTGTCAGAAGCAGATTACAGCCACAGTTCTGATTGTACTTTTAATTCTTATAGCAATGTTGATACATTGAATCAAGAAGAAAAGGAAGTTCCTTGCTTATTTCAAAGGCAAGTACAGACTTCACAATATGAATTGCTTGAAAGGTACTCAAGTTTTAATAAACTTCAAAATATTATTGCATATATTTATAGATTTTATCTTAATGCTTTAAAACGGAAACAAATAATTAAAGACACTTTTCTTACTCCTACAGAACTAGAAAACGCTCTTCTGGTCATTATTCGTTCTGTACAAAAACATCATTTTGCTGATGACATATATGCAATTAAGAACAATTTAAAAATAAAGTCAGGTATTGCTAATTTGCACCCCTTTATTGATGCAAACGATATTCTTCGTGTGGGCGGTAGGCTTCAGAATGCAGGCATTCCGCGCGATAAAATGCGTCCTATTATATTGCCAAAGAATTCCAAGGTAACATCTTTGATTATTGAGAGGGAACACCTTCGATTATTGCATGCCGGCCCTAGGTTAGTGCATAGTTCACTCTCACAGAAATACTGGATTAACAGTGGCATTAGAAAGATTAAAAAAGTATTGCACAAATGCTTAAAATGTATTCGATTAAAGGCTGAGGCTGCGATGCAACTTATGGGCTCCTTGCCGGCAGAAAGAATTAATGCTACTAGACCCTTTCAGCATGTTGGTATTGATTTTTGTGGCCCTTTTAGCATGAAGGTAGCCAGGATTCGAAAACCACTTGTAACTAAAGGATATGTTGCTCTATATGTCTGTTTTGTAACCAAGGCTATCCACATTGAGACAGTATCAGATCTTTCTACTGAAACTTTCTTGGCATGTTTCAATCGCTTCATATCAAGGCGAGGCATGCCAACTAAAGTCTTTTGCGATAATGCAAAGACATTTAAGGGGGCTGAAAATCAACTCAAAGAATTGTATGAGTTACAAAGTTCTAAATCTCATAGAGATGCTGTTTATAATTATTGTAAAACAAATTATATTAAGTTTGTGTTTATTCCCAGTTACTCTCCAGAGTTTGGTGGACTTTGGGAAGCAGGGGTAAAGAGTGTCAAATACCATCTTAAAAGAGTAATAGGCACCATGTGCTTGACCTATGAAGAATTTAATACTGTTATGATACAAATAGAAGGTGTTTTAAACTCTAGACCTCTGCTTTCATTTAATCCAAATGAAGGTGAATATTTAACACCTGGGCATTTTCTTATTGGGACAGCCATTTGCAGTTATACAGAGGTCAATGTGTCTGAAATTTCATTTAACCGTTTAAAATTTTGGAAAGTTGTAACAAAACTGAAACAAGACTTCTGGAAAACATGGTCAAAAGATTACCTAACTCAGTTACAGAGTCGCCCAAAATGGAAATATGATTTACCTAACCTAAAGGAAGGTGATATTGTACTGGTAAAACAATTAAATACACCACCTTTAGAATGGCCTCTAGCTCGTATTGTTAAGGTGTTTCCAGGCAAGGATAAGAATGTAAGAGTAGCCGAGGTAAGGTTTAATAATAAAGTGTATTTAAGGTCCATTGCAAAATTGTGCCCTCTACCTATTAATTAATTATTTTTAAGGTATATTTTTACTTTTACATGCTCTTTTTTATTATTGTCCTGATATTTAGAATACAGAAAATGAGTTGCAAAATGTATTATTGTAAATTCTCGCCTGGCCCTAACTATGTTCAATACATGAACATAAAAAATTTAATTCTAAATTTGTGGTAAACCTGTACCTTTAAAAGGCAATGTGATTTGTAAGATATAATTTAAGTTGTTACTGGCAACATTATGTACCTAAAAAGGAAGTAGAAAAATTGCATTCGTTGGCTAGTAGTGTCACAGTGTGCGCTAACGTTTTTATCTTTATTAAAGATTTTATTTTATTTTGTCTAGCTTTTCATTTTGAACAATTGGTAGATACAAAAATTATTTTAGAAATAGCTTGGAAGCGACCACCTCATTCCCAGGGGTTATTATCAACCATGTATTCAATTATACTATAATAACCCTTTTTACACATTTTCAACTTAACAAAACATTTAAACTTTACCAAGTTTAGAGAGAGCCTGTACACTTTCCGGGACCCTGTTGTAATAGCGTATACATTACCCCATGAATGAATTACTGACTCTGTGGAGTCGAGAAACTGGTATCACTAGCTTGTGTTTGTTCCTAGTGTTTACAGAATGAACATCACTTTTTTTACTAAAACTACCTTTGTTTTTATGAACATACATTAAATTTTCGTAAATATACTGAGAGGCCAAAGTTAATATATTTATTTATTTAAATTTATCTTTAAGAGACTCTCTCGGTTTTAGGTTGTAAATAGCTCTAAAGACCCTCTTCTGTAAAACAAAAATAGTTTCAGAATCAGCCGCATTTCCCCATAGCAAAATCCCATAAGACATTATGCTATGGAAATAACTGAAATAAACTAATCTAGCTGTCTCGACACTAGTGAGACCTCTAATCTTTTTCACAGCATAGGCTGCAGAACTTAGTCTGCTTGCTAGTTTGGATATATGGGGGCCCCACTGAAGCTTTGCGTCGAAAGTGATGCTAAGAAAAACAGTGGATTCAACAGGGCTCAGTTCTTTCCCATTTAAAAACACATTGGTACCGTAAAATTACACAACTATAGTGCAGGGTCCCAACTATAGTCCAATAAAACTATCCGACAAAATTGAAGCTGTATGGACTAGGACAGGGATGGCGAACCAATGGCACGCATGCCATTGCTGGCACGCGACGAAATAATTTCGGCACGTCACTGATTACGAGTTTAAAGAAAAAAGTATAAATTATGATTATGATGTAGCATAATACCTATGAATCTTTGAAAAGCAAACGCGCGCGAGCGTTCGGGTCCGGTGCGCGGGGTGGAGGCGGGGCGTAGTTGCTATGCTAGCGCGGGGAATGCGGCGGTGGCGCGGGGCGCGGGAACGCAGCGCGGGGGCTTGACTTGAGTAAATAATAACAAACGAGGCGCAGTGCCCGCGCAAATTGTTTGTTTACGCAAAAAATAGTTAAATTTCATTGTGAAAGTGAACTTTAAAGTTTATTTAAGTTATTATTTGCTGTAATTTAATATGGCTAGTTCAGCAAAGAAACTAAAAGTGCAAAATAGCAAGGATACTAGAGAATTTCAGACTTGGTGGACTGATAAATTCGGCGTGATTAATAAAGGTGACAAAGCAGTGTGTGTTTTATGTTCTGGCACCATGGTATGTAGAACATCTTCCGTCAAACGGCATTTTGAAACAAATCACAAATCAATTTGTCAAAAAAGCGAAGCAGAGCAAAAGGAATTAATTGCGAGTGCTTTGAAAGACAGAAACAAACAGTCAACATCAATAAATAAATTTGTTGGCAAAAATTGTCATACAAGTGCGGCAAGTTACACGGCTGCAAATGTCATTGCTCGGCATAGTAAACCCTTTCAAGAAGGCGAGTTTTTAAAGGAAGCCTGGTTAGCATGCGCGCCTTCTCTTTTTGCTGATTTCGAGAATAAAAATAAGATAATTCAGCGCATCAAAGATACTCCTTTGTCCAGAAACACAATAAAGGAAAGAATCTTAAAATTGGCTGAAAATGTTACAGAGCAACAAAAGCTTGACATTCACTCTGCTTCATTTATATCGCTATGCCTCGACGAAAGCACTGACGTCACAAAATCTGCACGTTTAGCTGTTTTTGCTCGATACTGCGTAGGAAACGTCATTAAGGAGGAATTAATTGCGATAAAATCGTTACCAACAACTACAAAGGGCGCAGATATTTGTACGGCAGTTAAAAATTCGATAGTTGAAAAAGAAATTGATATAAAAAAAGTTGTTTCTGTAACAACTGATGGTGCTCCGAGTATGGTGGGTAAAAAAATTGGTTTCATAAGTTTATTTCAAACTGAAGTAGGACATTCGATTCTTGAATTCCACTGCATCATTCACCAACAAGCCTTATGCGCTAAGAGCGGTTTAACATCTCTTGATAATGTTATGGCAGTAGTTACGAAAATAGTCAACCTCATCTCTGCTCAGGCTTTAAACAAGCGAAAGTTCGACGCTTTGTTGGATGAAGTCAACTCCGTGTATAATGGCTTACTCATGTATAATAATGTTCGGTGGCTGAGTCGTGGGTCTGTACTTGAAAGATTTGTTGAATGCTTGGAAGAAATCAGACTGTTTCTGCAAAATGAGGGAAAAATTGAACAATACCCACAGCTTTTGGACGTCATGTGGCTTTCAAAATTGATGTACGTAAGTAAAGATGCCAATAATAAAATTTTAGAAACCTGGAATGCGTTGCCAGAAACATTTAATTGTTTAAAGAAGCTGGCTCACGCTATTCTAACTGTATTTTCATCAACATATGCCTGCGAGTCATTGTTTTCAGAGATGAATAACATCAAAGACTCTGTTAGAAATAGACTGACTGATGAATCAAGTTCAGCATGCATTCTGCTAAAAGTAACATCGTACAACCCCAATATAAGTCAATTATCGTCCAATCTGCAACAACAGAAGTCGCACTAATTTTTAATTGCTCTTGTAATTGTATTTTTGGTAAATATAGAGCTTTGAGTTGATATTGTTTTTTTACATTATTTTTCCACTGATCACAAAGTCAAGAATATTTGATGACACGGCTGCGACGTCATTAAATATTATTCCAGAAAATTGGCACGTATACGCATAAAGGTTCGCCATCCCTGGACTAGGATATAGCGACATCTAGTTTATTATTTTATACTATTTTAGTTTCTTGACATCTGTTCGTTGTAGTTATATTCATGGACATGTCTCTCTAGTTCAAATTAGTAGACCTTCTCCGATAAAAACCTATTTGAACGCGTTAACTGAATATCGTAAACTTTTATTTGAAAATATTGGTTAAAGTGAAAACAAAGTTTCAGAATTGGATTCATATGGTAAGTTAAGATTCGGGCATTCATTTTACGTATAGTTTATTGTATAAATACACCTATATAAAAAAAATGATTTCTTTCTCGTAAGTACCCTCTTGGGTCTCAACTATGGTCCTACTGATTTTTGGACCATAATTAAAAACTAACTTATTTTGTTACAGAAAATGTTGTCACAAGTTGATGAGAAGAAAAGTTGGAGGGAGGGCTTATAAGTGTTATAGTGAACGGCAGATGGAACTATGTTTATCAGATATAACAAATTAAATTCTAACTCAACGCGAAGCTGCTGAAAAATATAAAATTCCTCGAAGTTCAATTATTTTAAAATTAAAAGCAATACGAACAAATAAAGTTAGACAACCAGGCCGTCAGCATATCTTTTCTGATACCGAAGAAACTGCTTTCATCCAGCATGCAATCGAAATGTGTAATTACGGTTTCTCTATTACCGTTTTTGATTTAAGGTGCATTGTAAAAATGTACCTTGACAGAATATATTACATTCGAGGATTGGTTCTTTTCATTGGTTCTGCCCACTTTACGTAGGTAAGAAGGGAAGAAGCTTCTCATTGGGGACAACTTAAGTTCTCATATAAATATGGAAGTTTTAAAGGCATGCAAGTCTCATAATATCGCATTTGTGGCTTTACCACCAAATAGCACCCACTTTACACAGCCTTTGGACGTTTATACACAGGACGTTAGTACACAGCCTATTTTAGGCCTCTTAAACTGCGCTGGCGTCAAATCTTAGACTCAAAATCATTTATACAATTTTTAGAAAATAAAAGAATAGAAGTGGTGGAATCAGGCGGTAAAGGACGAAAGAAGAAGCTCAATGTACCAGCGGGTAAAAGCATATCTGCAGAAGATATACAAATACAGGCTAGCACATCAAGAGAACCTGAGCATTCTATTAAAAATAAGACAGCAAAAACACCTGAACGAAAACCTAAAAAAAATATCAAAGATTCTTCGAGTGAAACCGATGACGAAGGTGAAATTCAGTATGCTTCAGACTCGACCATTAATCTCTCGGATGAATTCATCGCAGATGAATCTGCAGCGGCTGCCGTTGATATCCCGAATGCTACGCAGTTTATTTCCAAGCCAGACGATTATGTTTTAGTAGAATATGAAGGCGAACAGTGGCCGGGGCAAGTCAAGACCGTTGATGATGATGGAGCATTTGTTAGTTGCATGAATCGTTGTGGATTGTCATGGAAGTGGCCTGAGAAACCGGACTGTATATTCTATCCAATGGATAAGATTATTTCGACAATCAAAACCCCATCAAAATTAGGCACGAAGCGCGCGTTGTTTCGAGTACCGGAACTGGAGTATAAATGGGGTCAACCAAAAAAATAAATAATTAGATGTACCTACTTATAAACCTATTAAGAAAAATATGATTGATTTCATTTCATTATTGTTTCTTTTATACGAAAAAATTTCATTGTCTTTAATATTCCAAAAATAATAATAATTCTATTACTTAAAGTTCAATTTTAACGAATTTTGACGATTTTTGTATAAAAAAAATTGATAAATAAACATATTTCAATTCTTACTCATTACAGTTGTTTAATTTTATGCTTTCAACTATGATCCAGAACGCCACAATACGCATTTTTAGTACAAATAATAATCCGGTCTAAAGTTGTCAATATAACAGGCAACAATGGCCCAAATTGTGATTTAAAAAAAAAAGTTATTTGAACTTTCATTGTTTTATATTTAACATCGATTAGTTAAATTATCACATCTTACTTCATCTATAAAAATTATCACATGTGACATATGTAATTCAATGAATTAGAGGGGAGAGCACAAACTTATGATCTGAAATATCCGGACCATAGTTGTGTAGTTTTACGGTATTCAGATTTTTAACATTCGTTGTTGTAAATTTAATACATTTAGTTTTATTTCCGTTTAAATATAGATTATTAACGTTAAACCAATGCACTAATTGTGATATAGCATTATTCACTTCGTCACATTTAAATTATTAACGTTTAAGTTTAAAAATCAAGGAAGTATCATCAGCAAATAATACTATATCATGCTTATCCCCTACAAGAGAAGGTAAGTCATTAATATACACTAGAAACAGGAATGGGCCGAGAATGGAGCCCTGAGGGACACCCATTAGTACAGGTGACCCGGAAGAACTTTTACCATTGATAATAACTTTCTGCATTCTATTACTTAAATATGAAATAATGAGTTTAAGCGCTGTGTTCTTGACACCATAGTACTGTAGCTTCCTGATTAATGTCTCATGGTGAACGCAGTTGAAGGCCTTGGAAAGGTCACAAAATATACCCAAAGTAAACTGAATTCTCCCATGCACAAAAAATATGTTTAACACTGCAGTAGTCACGCGTTCTACCATTGTAGAACGCGTGTACATTTTGTTGAATTTTGTCGCAAGTTGAAGGTCACTCACGCACATATTCTCAGTATTCCTCTATTACTAGGCAATAAACAATTGTAGTGTCCTTGCAGCGACGGAGGCGGCCGCATGTCTGTGAAATTTGGCGCCAAAAGGGAATTTCTACGATTGTAGAGCGCGCGACCTCTCGCGTGACATTTTTCTCGTAAGTTGCCGTTCATGTTTTTTGTTGTAATAATGTTTATTACCTTTTTATTTATTGTTATGTTTATTTATTTTTAATGTTATGACATGTACAACTTATTGTAAGGTTAGTAGTAACAAGAGTGGCCCTTTTTTTCAGAGAAATGGCTTCCCGGAGTGAAGAAGAGAGAATTAGTAGATGGCTGGAGGGAGAAGACCCTGATCCTAGTGATATAGCAGAAAGTGACCCTGAAGATCGATTATTAGAAGAGGAATGGTTGGAAGAATCTCAGCACGATACGGACACGGAACAGGAAGGAAATAGCTCAGAGCCCGACCTGGAACGAGGTATGATTAGCACCCATGAATCCGATTTAGATTCCGATGATAATATACCCCTAAGTTCACTCAGAGACCAATATTATACGTCCAAAAATGGTACTAAGTGGAGGAAAACGCCTTATCCTGTCACAAGAACACGTACTTGTAATATTCTTACGGAACGAGCAGGGGCTATAGACGTAGCCAAAAATGCGAAGTCCGAGCTAGAATGTTTTGGACTGTATTTTGATCAATCTGTTATAGAGATCTTAGTAAACTCCACTAACATCTATATTGAGCACGTAAAATCCAAATTTTCTAGAGACAGAGATGCTAAATTAACAGATATTTTAGAGATTAAAGCATTCCTTGACATGCTCTTTGTGATGGGTGTTCACAAATCCGGAAGACGGAACTTGGAGGATTTTTGGAATACGACCCGAGGTACAGGTACCGAATTAATTTATCTCGTCATGTCACTAAAAATATTTAGATTCCTGCTACGAACAATACGATTCGACAATATAAGTGACAGAGACGTAGGTAAACAGCATGACATGCTAGCTTCTGTGAGAGATATTTTTGAGAAACTGGTCGCCAACTTTCAAAAACACTTTGTACCGGGTGAATACATGACATTAGATGAACAACTTGTAGCTTTCCGAGGACGTTGTCCTTTCAGACAATATATCCCAAACAAACCTGCTAAATATGGTATTAAAATCTTTTTACTAGCAGACGCTAAAGTACCGTACTCGTACAACATGGAAATATATGCGGGCGCCCAGCCTCCCGGTCCATATGAACAGTCGAACAAGGTTGTGGATATTGCGATTTTTTCAGGGGTGCTGATTCCAGTCCCGGTTAAATCAAAACAGCATTTATTTTGTTATAACTTAAATCTTACCAGCTTCAAGCTATAACGTCGATAGAATTAATAGTACTTGCGAATGAGTTGTTTAACTCAGTTGAGTTGTAGTCAAGAACTACTATTTCAACTCAACAATTTACGTTCTGAAGTTTCAAAACTAGAACAAATATGCGTAGGCAGCAATGCTTACGAAAAGTACCTCGTAGCAATCGTCGTCCTAGTAGGACTTCACGTTATACTTCACGATAGACGATTAATTGCATATCCAGCCAGGAAAGCAAAATGGTGGATAGACGAACTAACGTGGAAAGATAACCTACCAATGCAGTTACATTCTGCTAGCGCCGGAGGAAGTAAAGTTTATACGGTAGGATGCGGATCTACAATATTGTTATCAACAGCTACATTGTTATCACCGTCTCCGATTTGTGTCAACGCCTCGGGAACAAAATATATTGGATATGAACAAGCACGAATTGTGTATGTTAGGGCCACAATAACGCCCATAGTTAATGTATCAGATAGGAGTGGACTGTTTGCTTGCGCCATAGTTCCTATTGATAAAGATGCATTTACATCTGATGCATCGAATGACTTTCATCAGTTATCTCTGCAACCTAATTCAGTAGTCCGTCCAATGACGCGACCTATTTCAGTTTCATGGAGCCCAACCCTACAGGAGCATGAAGACATTAAGATAAATAAGAATATCTGCGCTTTTATGGTTGCTTTTAGTGATATTGACGGGCGCGCCTCGCGGTGCCCCGCGAGGCGCGCCCGGCGCCTGTGTGCTGCGCGTCGCGTCGTCCTCTCCCTTGTTTGACACTATCTATCT